TAGTGGCAAGGAGCGCTAGATTATGTCTGCCCTTGGCAACAGCCTTGGGCACCTTTCAGGTGACAGTGCGATTTAGCTTAGTTCCGCCCACAATTTTGATGGAGAGCACCCCGGAGGGACGGTTCCGAAGGTCTCCCACCCCTCTCCCTTTGCACCAAACCACTCGAGAGGACTTTCCGTCTCGCCCCATATTTAGGGTGCCACCATGAGGTTCCAGCACTATACATTTATGCCTTCTCCGAGATTCGAACCCGGGCCCTTCGGCACGCCAGCTAGCGACGCTAACCGCTGTAGCGAGTGGGCGGCTGAAAATGTAATTGTTTTTTGTTGTTAATTAAACTTTGAAATAGATCGCTTTTGATGGTTGTTAATTCTTGCTGTCCTAGTGCTGAGTAATTAGGCCACACGCTAATATTTTGGTTTCTATAGTTTGGTTTATTAACACAATAATTTATTTACATTATATAAGCAGCCGTATGCTGAGAAATTGAAAAACACATTCCATTACACTCGCTTCGCGCTGTCACACTCTTACGTACTCTACTGACAGTGGGGCGTCTGTTTTACAGTGCCATCTATTGGCAGAATGCAAAACGCTAAACACGTAGAAACGAAAACCTTTAGAAAGGACGCAGCAATATCCTAAAAATTGTGGAAACGTTCCGAATGGAGGAACATCTGAGGCTATAAAATGACTCTGGTTGGTATTTCTTCAGTTTGAAGAGTTGATTTTCTTTGAGGCGCTTCCTCACTTCTCTTTGCCACAATACTGTCATAATACGATGGCTTACCTTATGCATAAACGTGGACTTACCTTATTCATAAAACTTATATCAGTCCTAAAACTGAGTGCCCTACAGGCCAAAGCTGTGAAGTTGCTGGTAGTTTATCTAGGCCTGGATTTTAACTGATTAAAGGGATAAATTATCTGAGGGCATTCATCGCATGAAATGTAATTCCAAGCCCCTTTCTTTCAGAATTGGTGGACTGTAAAAGTGCTCCTTTTCCACACTCTCTGCAGATACACCTAACGTGTTTTGGAATAATTGAATAGACAACTAGCCTTTGCTTTGTGAACAGTAAAAGGGAGAGAACTTCAAAACAAAAATCAACACAAATAAGCATAAATTTTGCAGTTTACTGGATCAGTTGTGCTTCCCGCTTCCACCCAAACAGAAAATAAATAAATACATTTCGTATCTAAATATTATAGATCACAATATCAGAAACAAGTAGACAAACCATCTCGGACTACTAGCGAACAAACTGCTCTTTGAATTTAATAATATTTTTTTTTTTAAATCTGAAAAGTTTCAGATTTTAATCGTCACCCAAAAAGGTTTGCTAAGGTTTTTTTACTCTTTCGACGAACTCGCAGTCTACCCCTCTTCTTTTGCACTCAGTCCTGCCAACTTTTTTTTTTTTTGTTTTTTTTTGTTAACTTTATTATTAAGCTTCATTTTCTTTGCACTTGCGTTACATACAATTCAACAGCAAAATTACAAGAATTTTAAAAGCAGCATAGCAGCATATGTGTAGCATTCCCGATGCAGTGTTAAAGTTTTGGCATACATTTTTCTATTTTTTTCAGCCTCTTCTGATTTCTTCATATCAACATCCAGTTTCCTTAGTAAGATGACTAGCAATTTTTTTTGTTTTTTATTTTTAACTTTTTACATTTAATTCGACAGTATAATCAGAAAATATTTAAAAACAGCATTTTCTTTTTAATTCCCGGTAGAATGTTAGAAGTTACCTTGCATATTTTAACATTCGTTATCTTGTTTTTTTAAAAAAAATTGGCTCTTGCGCAGCCAGCCGTTTAAAATAGTTCCTTTACAAAAGGAAAAAAGTGTATAATGATTTTAACGATTTCGGCTCCTGTAATTTCATAAAAATATTGAATACTTCTAATTAGGCATCTCATGATTTTCATACATGCAATATATAAATCAATCACATTAAAAAGTAAAAAAAAATTCTTAGGAGCTGTGTTTATTGCTTTCAAATCGCTTAGTTTTTTACTCCGTAAACTTCTAGATTAAATCTGAATTTCATAGATTTGTTACTTAAAACTGAAAGATTTACATTTACATCTTACATTTTTTCCAAATGGGAACAGTCTCGCGCGCTGGAGACAAAGATGTTTTGTTTCGAACAGTGTTGCCAATACTTGTTTCTAAATCGTTGAGTTTGTTAATCAGAAGTCCATTAAATTTTACAAAATGTGAAATATGTAATAAAACGAATTCAAAATTTAAATTTCGGGCTTCCAGGTGCCCATGTTCGGCTGGAGGACTACGTTATTCAAAACTGGATAATTCTAGGTACCATCGTTTTTTTCACAATGCGAGGAGCATACTGCATGCAAGTTCTTCATTATTTAATTTTTTTAAAAAATAATACAGGGCGATAATATTTGGTGGCATCAATTTAAAGAGTGATACATCGTTTATAATAAATGAGCTCAAAATTCTATTTTGAGATTAATATTTCCTTTTGGGTTAAATTTTTTTTTCTTTAAACAGCATTTCAGAATCTAATTTTCTGATTGAAGGAAAGCTGACGCTTTCAAATTCTTGTTCGAAAACTGAGGAAAAATATATTGTTCTCTTGAAGCAGATGATTCTGTCATTCATTCTGGAATCAAAACATCTATGATGTTAACGAATTTTCTGGACAACTATAAGCAGCTGCCATTCTTCAAGGTCTTTTCTGTTCGAGTCTCTAACAAGAAGATTGTGCAGATTTGTAAAAATATATATTAATCAAATTTTTTGCATATTTTTAATGCAGGTATATAAAATAGGGAGTGATAATAAATTTACATATTAAAATAGCCAGCTTTAGTAATTTAAGTAAAAGTTCTGGACTGAAGGGGCATGCAACAACGAACCTTCTGGCAAAATCAGTCTTAGACTTTCGAAAATGTGTTTTCAGAAACACGTTTTCGAGAGTTCAAATTCCAGAATCTTTATATGTTGGTAAAAAATCAACAAACATTCTTCTCCATGCCGCTGCAGATTTCAGCTGTGTCTCCTCTTTTAATTTAACTTATTTGCCCAGTTATAACAAATATTTATATATTATGATATGTACTACAAAATGGCAAAATAATGAAACGCACAGCGATAAAATGAGTCCCCCACCAGTTAAATATTATGCAAAAGGCACAAAAATAAGTATAAAATTTGAATTAAAATAATGTAAAAATAAATTAATAGATTTATTAAAACACATTGCTTAATTCGTATGAATAGGAACATTTACGTTACGACAGCAGTTTAATGCTTTGACAATTCTTAATTTTGCAAATCAGCTTCATGTTTTTAATATAGAGTGGCTCACATTTGTTTTTGGACACTTGTTTTTTTTTTAAGTCCGAACAGTATGGAGAAATTTTGATAACTTCAAGAGAGTTGTACATCAACCACAAGCGAAGATTTAGGGCTATTTGCTTAGGACCCTTATCCTGATAGAACTTGAATATATTTAGCATTTTAAGTTTTCTTGCGGATACTTTCATTTTTTTCACTAAAAATATTTATGTAATTACTCTAACCCATATTATTTTCGGTAGTTTTTCTATAATATTTCACATTATAAAGGCAGCAAAACTGTTCCAAACCATTATGTTATTAAAGAAAACAGACGCCTATTGTTGATTGGTCCAGGAGACGTGTCCTCTTGTCCAACATAAACGGTCACCTCTGTGTTCTCGAGTCAAGGGGACACAAACAACTGGTCGTCTTGCATACAGAACTGTATTGTGCAGGCGTCTACGCACTGTAGTGTCCGAGATTCTTGTTCCTATTGCCAATAAATGATCTTCCATGAGCTGAGGCTCAGTAATGTTACTCTTTCTTCGAACCAAAAGAGCTAAGTAACGGTCTTCCGCTGGTGCTGTAACTCTAGGTCTGCCTGGAATATGTCTTCTAGCCACAGAATCCTCGGATTCAAATTGATTCCATAGTCGGTGGACAACACTACGAGAGACATTGAGACGTCTAGCAACATCAACTTGTGATAGCCTCATTTCTATCCATCCGATCGCCCGCCACCTCAACGAAAAGGGCAAGAGACTTCTCCTGGACATCGATAGACTCTCCTAGATATTGTCCACGAAACTGTGATAACAAATGAAGATCAACGCTCGTGAACAAAAATTACAATTTTTGCATTTTTCTCCACTCCTATATAAGTATTCATTTCTGTAAACTAAAAGTTGTAGCTGTTTTTGTTGCATATATTTTCGTAAGCTTCGTTATTATCATATATACGTTATAATATTAATAGTAAATATGAGCTATTTTCCTTGCAAAGCGAGCTGCAGTCAATGTAATTCTTTATGTTTCCTAAGAATGAATTATTTGAATTTCATGTTTAATTTACAAGTGGTATTTAAATGGCTGTTTTGGAATTTTCATCTGTAACTACATATACAAAAGCGTTTTTCTTAAATAAAATGTTTGCATGCCAATAAAAATTAAGTTTTATCGGTACTTTCTGATTTCCGCACGGTTTTCAATGTACGCTAGAATTTACACATGAAATCGTAGCAATCCATGCATAGCCCATACGTACTTGAGTGCACCTAGATTTCTAGCTTTGTATTTGATTGCTTAATTTAATTATTTTGCTGAACAGTATGCATCAGCATTAAAAATGTAAATACTGTAATGTAGACTTGTTTTGTCTCATAAATTTCTCCCGTTTCTTATAAAATGCTTCCTTTCAGTATTATTTCTGTCTATAAAATTGCCTATGAACCATAAAGGCAGTCAAGCAAAATATTTTCTGCCTGTATAACAAAGTCCCCAATAATTTGCGAACATTTCGGGAGGGGAGATGAGTGCGGATAATCAGAAAGTATTGCTATCTTTTTCAAAATATTAGTGTTATTGCTGTATTTAAAATTCTATATTCAGTATCGTAAAACATATTTTCTTTAGTATTACTGTTGCAATAAATGTAAATTAATGTATTATTCTCTTTTTCAGCAATCCAGTCTTTGGACTCGCTGAATGAACAAATAGTTCAGTTTCTCCTCACTTCCCAATCGGATGGCAACTTGAACGAGGATCCCGCCACAGCGGCTAGATGGAGTTACCAATGCCATTACTCCATGGTTCTGATGCGGCGCCTGCTGCTCGAGGCCCAATGCAAGTTTCGGAAAATGATGTCCGACAACAAGGCTTTGGCCTCCAGAATCGATCAGGACATCCAGTCTGCTCACCTCCAAGTGTCCGCGCTGCGGGCTGAGCTCGCGGACACAAACCAAAGGATCAGGGACATCTGCTCCGCATCTGAAACTTCGGGTATGGCGGGGAATGTGATTACGACCTGCATGCCACCTACTTCAACGACCAACACGGCGGTGAGCAGCACGGCTGATGGACAGTGGACGAAGGAGGTGAAACCAGGTCAACCTGTCACTCGCGCCGATTCCGTTGCTGCTATCTCTCGCGTGTCTTCAGCTTCTCCCCCTATTGCCGATAAAGGTGGTACAAAAACTGTGTCTGATAGGGTTCATCCTGCTGATCAAACGCACTATCTAACCGTCACTCAAAGTCCGAAATCGCTTGCAGGTTCAAAGGCTACTGAGCAAAAGACGAACGTTGAGAATGGCCCTTCGCCAGACCAAGTTACCAAAAACAAATATGGTGATTTAACTTCTAAGGAACAAAATGTTAAAGTGACTAATAGTCCAGCTAAAAGAAATTTATCTGCGGTTAGTCCTGAAAAACAACATTTACTTCATAAGCAAACATCCAAAGAAAATATAACTCCTACTCATCAGTTGAGAAAGGATTCGAAGGATAAACCGGATAGTTTGACAGAAAGCTCTGAAGCTAGTGAGGAAACAAATCTCTCCAAACATAGAAGTCACCGTCGCGAGAGGAGATCACTCAAAGGAAGTGATGTTCAAAAATCTCTCCTAAACGATTTGAAATGTCAGCAGGTAAATGGAAAGCAACTTGATGGTTTTAAGACAGAACTTCAAAGATCAGAATCAGACGGAAATCAGAATTCAGCACCGGAGTGTGATCTTAGCCTAAGTGGCTCTCCATTTAAGGAAGACAGCACGAAGGTATCTCAGGAAAAGTCGTCTACTTTGGGAAGTTCTACTCAAACAGGAGCCAAAGAGCTAACTGTAGAGGAGTCTAAAGCCGAAGACTTTAGCCTTGATATTCACAGGAGTAGTCCTCCAGTGAAGGATGATTCCAACGCACATTCTTTTTCGTTTCATAAAAGCTCAACAAATGGCTGTTCTCAGAAAGACTTACATGACGGTCATAGGTACAAAGCGAAGACAAAAAGTGATCCATTAGACAAACGACGTGATAAATGTGCTCAAGAATATTCTGTGCTTTCAAGTCCTAGCTCTGTGATGAAACATAAAGCAGGAGCTTCCAGGGGTATTTGTAGCTGGGAGGAGAGACGTTTTGAATGCCAAGAGCTTTCACCTGCGAGCGCCTGGTACAAAACCCAAGATAATTCCTCGAGTGTGAGTGGTAAAAGTGTACTCGACGAATCCTCTTCGAAAGAGGAAACTTCAGATAGCCAGGATGGATTGCCTTCTGAATTCTGTGATCGAATGGGGGTGAGAAATGAGGAGCAAGGTCGATATGTTGTGTTCGATTCGAAAGATATTAGGCGACCATGTCGCCAATGGCGTACGGCATTGAGTGAAAGCTATAGGGACCAGCAGATTTCGGATTCGTGGAAAAGTAGTTTGTGTGATACGACTGAAAAAAGTGATCCGAAACTATCCGACAAGCGACAAACTCCTGAAAAAGATGACCAAGTCTCCAGCAATCTCATTCAAGAAAGTTCCTATTTCAGGAAATCAACAAATTCGGATTACTCTAGTTACAATAGTAAGTTATTATTTCTCCTCTATTTTAAAACATTCAGGTGTATATTTTTTGAATGATTCTACCCACGCATACTTTAGAACCCTCTTAAACAAACGCACCAAGAAGAAGTTACCCGAAAGAGGGCAGGGAATTCGGTAGATGTGATAAATATGTATGGGAAAAGAAGCATAATTTCAGAGGAATTGAATCTTTATTCAGGCGATACATTTACATACAGATAATAAATCAATAAAATGTTTGTACATCTCTTGCCCTAATAAAGGCTTTTATTCGGCTTGGCACTGACTTCCATGCCCAGAGATGCTGCATTGGCAAGACATCTGGCAATTTAACTGGCTAGGAAAGTATTTAACAAGCATGAAGGCAATTAGCAAAAATGCTTGCCGTATTGTCATATTGAAATGTTAATATCGCCTCGAAAGGAAGGGAAAAACAGGGTGTAAAATATCGTCGACATACCACCATGCTGTAAGGGTGTTACGGATGATAACCCAAGCAGTCCAATTATCAAATGAAATAGCACCCAAGACTATGTTCCTTTTCTTGGCCTTGTTGACGTGCTACAGTTAGTTTAGTGTTTTGGGCGTCTCTAAACACGTCTTCGTTGGCCGTTGCCGCTCAATACAAAGCAGGACTAATCGCTGAAGAAAATTTGACTCCGTAATGAGATTCGAGTTCGAACGAATCCGGTATTGCTGCAAATGCGCTTCTCGATGTGCACAGGCAATAGACATCATGAACACAGACTGTATTTTATGAGTCGCCTATCAATAGTCATTGGAGCCACTGGTGTTTTGATTACACATTGGATAACTGGTAATGAAAAATCTGGCTTTGCGAGATGGTATACCTTCTTGACGCTATATTCATCCATCGTCCAAACTTTCTTGCCATTCTCGTCGAATGACTACATCGCTCCCACACAGATATGAAGCTATCTTTCTTTTCTACCACACTGTTTCTATTAAGCGATTGCAGGTCCTCGGTCAACTAGTAACATACGCCTATATTGTGATGGAACCCATTTGGCAAAGCTTTGGTACAGTCGAAAATTAAAGTTATGCCCTAAATTTGAAATTTCTTCTCTGTACCATATACTCTTCGGATGCCAGGTACCGATACTCAATAATTCAAACTGTTCATTCACTGACCGCCAAAATTTAATGATTTGTATGTTCGATCGATAGGTATTGGCAAGCCAAATTTCTTTGCAATCGGATAACTCCTTTTTGGTGCTTCTCCCTTCCCCCATCTTAGAGTGTAATAAATAACTAATAAATTGTTTAACTAATAACTAATTAATAAATAATATTATTTTTTAGTACAAATTATTTGATAATAGAATAAATAAGTAATGTGCCATGTTCTTTTTTTTTTTCCTATGATTCAGCCAAGGTTGTTTGCAAATGATGGAAATCTTTATTGTAATTGTAAAAGAAGTAGGTCAAATAAAGTAAGGCTCGTAATCCATATTATCTGAAGAAAAGATATAAGATTTTTACTATTATATCCCTTTAGAAACATGCAGTGTAGGAATCATATGTCTTCCGTCTAACATTAGTTTTTCCCATCTGCACGTTAATTCACTTCGTACCATGTCTATATCCAGCGTTTCTTTTGTAACAGTAACATCGACATTTCTGTATTTTTGATATTAGATGTCGTAAGAGCGTAAGCGTAATTTTTGATTCCCCACAGGAAGAAAAACCAAATATATATATTTCAATTAATAAATATTGGAAACCATTTCAGTTTCAACTCCATCGAACGATCGACGCTGTTTCTTCAGCAATGTTCAGTTCATCAATATGCTATAGGGAAAAAAAGAACTCTTCTTAAGTTTCTTCTTTTAGATTTTATGAGAATAATTTTGATATTTGTCTCCTTTTAAAATAAATTGTTAAATTCATCCCATAATTTAAAAACATACTATATTATTTATTATAAATAAAATTTTGAACTGTTTCGAAATATGGTACAGTAAACCCTAAGTTCTAAATGGTTTTGGTCTTCATTGGAGGTGGTCATCTTATAGAGATATTGTTAAATACCTACGTTTATTAACTTTCTCGAAAATACTGGTCCTTTTTATTAGAAGTTGCTGTCTAAAGAGAACTTGCCTTGAGTGGATTTACTGTATCTAGCGCTTCTTTTAAGTGAGTTTTCTTTCCCCCTGAAGATTAAAGAAAATTTATTGCCGCTAAATTCAATTAATTGGAATAAAAATGCATCAAAGTAAAATTTCGAATTAGAGGAAGAGGGCCAACTTAATTCGGCATTGATTGCTTGCTTTATTTGTCTAATTAGATAAAGTCCAATTTATTGAAAATGGGATAGTTCGGATTGAGAATAAGGTGTTTGAGTCGCGTAGTTTCAGACGGTTCTATTTGTCAGATACAGTGAACGGTAATATTTCCATGCTGCCGTAACTATAGTGGTTTCCTGATTTGTAACTGTTAGCGCGTTTCTTGGTTAATTATGATTTTAAATTGATGATAAATTTATAAGCATTAGTAAATATAAAAGCTGTAATCAAAAGAATCGTTAGGACCACCAGCGGCCGAGTGGTAAAGTTGTTAAACACTGGTACTTTGGTTCGAGGTTCGAATCTCGCTGAAATGCATGAGCGTTTTCGTGGATTTTCCCATGCTTAACGTGTATACGAGCCAGTTTCCCTTAAAAAATTTTCCACGAAGGCATCCCTTCCCTCTTAGGCAGATAGCCTTATTGTGCTTTTCCATAACCTAATAAACCAACCAAAAGAATCGTTTGGCGAAAAGTACGTTCGCCAAGCGTTATCTGCTTTTAAAGGATTTCTAATCTGGTAGCCTCTAATTAAAAGTGAATGACTCCATATGTCAATTTACTGCAATCAGACTGTTTCGTTTAACTTGGATATATTTTTTTCGAGTATCTTTCTTCTTAAAACCCGTACGCATATTTTATGTAACTTAAGATTTTAACTGTCTCAATAGTAGGATTTCTTTTTCGAATTTTATTGTTCTTTTTTCATTCTTTAATTCCAATACTGTCATCTATAACCAATAATTTACATATGCCCCTTTTTCTAATCTGTTTACTATCGAATTAGATGCCTTGTAAAAATTCATTCTGATTTGTTGAGAATTGATAGTTTTCCCTAGCTTCTGACTCAAAAGTAAATTTCAAGCTTAGTGATGGAAGTTTGATTAGTAAATTTTAGATTTAAAATACTGTAATATAAGTAGCCCAGTTACAGGATTTCAGCATCAGCTGCTTGTAACGATTGTTCTAAATTTTGAACTACTTATTTTTAATTTTTTCTGCCTTGCCGTTTCTGATTTCGTTTCTACGAGAATTAAATTAACTAATTCAAAGAAGAGATTAGGTGCGAGTATATGAGGTGTATTCAAAAAATTCCAAGAATGATATAAAATATGTTTTTATGCATGACTCAAAATTATTTTATAGGGTCACCTGTAAAATGTTACGCTTTTTCAGCGTAGGGCTGTAGAAAGATATCTGCTGAATCCTCTTTTGAAATGCTATTCAAGTTCTTGTATCACTTTGTTAGATAGCATCGACATCTTTGAAACGACAACTTGTTAAAATCCGCTTAATCCGAGAATAGACAGAAATGATATGGAGGATGTTGCGAGGCACATTATGGCTGCATAGCGTGAAGTATTATTATGAAGTAATCTGTCTAGCCTTTCACATTTTGGTTCAGCCTTCTGATGCGTTCTGCTAACATTTTCATTATTTTAAATAAAACATTGTTGTTATTAGATTTTTTACATGCAAAGTCTTTTAGATAAGGAATTTTTATTAAAGAAATGATCAGCATATACAGCGTGATCATAAAAAAATTCCCTAACATATGAACCCCTGGCCGCCTATCCGCTCAGAGCCAATTAAAATAATAATCGAATTATTTGAAGGTATGTGCTCGAGACTGTGCTGATTAAAATCAGCAGAGCTCTACGGTTACAGTGAAAAAATTTCGAAGTTTTCGAATGGCAACACCCACTTTTTTGTTTTTGCACAAACTGATCAGCACATCGAAATAACATTCATAGCTTTGGAGCATTGTAAATGACTAATGACAATAAAAGAGAGGAGAGAGAAAAAAACATTTATTGACTTTTATGTGATTATAGCAAAGCTTCGAGGGCTATTTGCCTAAGGGAAGGAATGCATTCGTGGAGGACTGTCTAAGCGAAACTGTCTCGTATACACGTTACACACGGAGAGAACCACGAAAATGTCCATGCAGGCAGCCCGTTTGCAGGATTCGGACCTTGGAGGGATCTATCAGTGTTCAACGGCTTTACTACTCGGCTGCTAAACTTTTGTTGGAATTACAAGTTTTCAACGAATTGGCTTTCGCTCTGCTTGCTGAAGATTGTTGATAGCTATGACGGACAAAGCATCGTAAGAGGAAACTGCATAATTTCACGTCTTATGACATCTTTCAATTCTGACAAATCTCATGGATTTTGTGTATACGCCTTAGATATCAGATAACCCCAGGACCAGATATTCATCGGAGCGAGGTCGAGGGAACTTTTCCGAGCACACATGGCCACGTGCAGAGGACCACCGTCTTGCATCCGTACAATATCATAAACGACATTTCGCTGCTGCAATTTTGGAATCACGTAACTCTGCAACATTGTTGTACATCGAGCGCTTGTGATGGAGCACGTTTTCTTACTTGTAGAAGTGATCTCTTCGAACAGGAGGACATTGGTTCTTTACAATGCTCTTCTTTGCAAATGTTTTACACCGTCAATTTTCATCATACGCGTATCGTTCCAACGCCATTAATGGTTTTTCAGTTCGCTGATCAATCAATATGCGCTGCAAAAAAGTGCGTTTTTTTCATTCGAAATTTCGAAATATTTTCAGTGTCACCATAACTAGAAGAGCTCTATTATTTTAAACCTTAACAATCTCGAGCGCATAACAGTATCTGAAATTTCATTTCGATTGGTTGAGCGGATAAGGCCGCTAAAAGT